ATTTCAAGTGCCGCTACGATCAGAGCTTATTTAAATGTGACACTGAGCTGTTTTTGAATTGGCTGTGAATGTAATATAAAACAGAATCGAAAAACAAAACAGCTGCACTGTGGTCGATAATTATATGTACCTGAATTACTCTCAAATGCACTGGTTTATCGTGTCATAATGATTTATTGATAATTGCGAGGAAGAGGAAGAGCGTGCCGCATTTCCAGATACTAATTAATTTTGACCAGTGTAGAATACCTACCTATGTTGCATAAAATAAAACGGGTCTGCCGGCGAGCTATCATATTGCAATATGTTCAAAATTCAACTTGGATGTCATTGACTTGCATTGATCATCATAAATATCGTTATAATTTATTATGTGTCATTGTATCACAAAATAGTAAAAACTTTAAATGCGTATTCGATTATCATTATTATCTGAAAACGAATGCATACCTCATCTCTAGCCGAAAAACAAGCACTGGAAAGGTTTCCATTTTACGTACCTTTCTTTTTGTAGAATAATTTCTTATCTGGTTTCAACCATTTTTTCTGAAATTTTATAGAGCAAAGGCAACAGTATACAGGGTCTAAACGTTATGATAGTCATTATTTAAATGGGTGATAGAGGGGGTTAAAAGAAGCAAAAAGTTTCATACAACATGGGGCTCAAAACGGCATTTTCTTAGAGAAAAGCGACTTTAAAGTAAAATAAATTTGACAACGACGCAAAACTATGCTTCTAACTAACCACTGTTACCGTTTGCGATCGATTGCCGGTTCAATAAGAGTGATGATGACCGACGCGCTGTTGTCAAGTGTGTTTTAAATATTCAATTTAATGAAACTTACTTTCTTACTGAATACAAATTTTGGCTCAAGTTAGAAAAACTTAATGCCATTTATTTGTTGATTAACAAATTTAAAAACGTTTTAGATTAGATTATAAAAATTAGTAAGATTGTATTGGTTGTGGTCGATATAAAACACTTAAAGTTGTAAAGTATAAAGCCATTTAGACAAAAATCTATTGACTTTTGGACCATGGGTCATATGAACCTTTTGACTTGTTTTGACCCCCCTACTACCCATTTCAATAATGATTACCATAACGTTTACAGCCTGTATATTTGTCTAGATCTAGACCGTACATCTAAAGGTGTTACAAATGATTGTAACCTAGAGATATCCCTATTTTCCTCGAAAGACGACATGCGGATTAGGTACAGCGGCAAAAACATGTGATAGTGGGAGATAATTAATGAGTTTGTTGAAATCTACACCTAATTAACAACTTATATATAATTTTTTTGTCTTGTTTATGTTTGTTCTGATTTTGGTTCTATCATCTACAACGTCGGTTTACGATACTTGTTGCTTTCTTATTGATTACTATTGATCTGGATCATAGGTTTTGATCTCCGGATCAACTGAGAAAATATGTTTTTGTAGCCAAACAATTTGATTTATGGAGAGTTTCTCGATTTTGTATTAAAGGCCCTCTGATTTTTTAGCTAGTTTGACAGATATCTTAGACAAAATTGACTACACCCATTGTAGTCCGTATTAGAGAGAGGCCCTGTCATTTGTCGGTTATGATCCGGATTAAGATTTCTAGACCCTGCAGGATCACTAGTCAAACCGTGCCTAACGGTAGCAAATTGTGCTCTTCGATCACATGTAAAAGTAAGATTTTCGGCAAGTGACAGCACCTATAAACCACAAAAGGATCCATCTGAATCAATGCTGGCCCATCCCCATCAGTGCCGCACATTAATTGCATCCCCGAGGCATCGGCCAGCGTAGCGCCAAGCGGCGACGGTTCTCTCGCACCACGAGTTTCGGCTGGGCCACAAACAGACGCTATGAAGAAAAAACGAGCTAGCAGCAGCATCTTTCAAGGTCTGCCTCGTCTCATCCTGTAGCCATTGTCTAATCGAATTCCTTCTTCTCGGCCGCTATACTGGTTCTGGTTCTTCTTCATGGCTACACCACCACCAAAACCATCGCACCGACACCCGCGCACCTCTGTCATTGCTCCTCGCGTGTTCGTTATCCAGGGTTCTTTATTAGTTGATGCTGGGATTCGGTAAAATCCCAATAAACATTCTAAGTTATAATTACGTTAATATTAGGTCGATGAGACATTTATTACTAATAGGTCGAAGGATATAAACAACTATTTAGGTAATTTTGTGGAAATCGCTGTAATTTTGCCCTATAAAATCATGAGTCTGAAAAAAAAACTAAATCTATCAATAAAGGCAAATAGTGTAAAAAAATGGCTTCCATGTGTGGTAGGAATTATAAGACAATCACTTCGAAAGTAGATTTTCGGTCACAAGTGAACGAAGAATATATGCGCAAGTCATTTTTTCGTCAAATGTGAACAAAATAGGGGCGAAGTTCTTAATTATATGCAAAATAACGAGTTTTGGGTGACAGGTATTTTTGGAAAAAGTAACATAATATATAAGCAATGAGATAATGTTAATGTTTTATTATTAAAAAGAGAATATATCCATCCATCATCCTCATCAATTGTATCTAATAGTACATCTTTGCCACGATGCAGGTCTAAATGGCATGCATTTTTGACTTACCTCCAAATTACTTAGAGATCAAATTCCAAATCAAGGTGAAACTAGGTCCTGGTTTTCAATTTTGGGTAAGCAATTTTTCACATTGCTGTATGTAGGCTGTATTTATTAGTTTCCCATAGCTGTCGAAATATATATGAATGTCTACAAACCCACTTCGTATTGCGTGTTTGCGATAGGAAAACATCCTGATACGGATCATTCTCTTTTTTAAATTACAGTCGTTAGAAAGAGAGAGGGAGAGAGAGAGATCCAACGATATCAAGTTCACAATTTTCTAAATATTCTCAATAAACTCATTTTTCCAATTTCCAATGTTCATCAAACCGATTTTTCAAAATCGATTACCTACTTATTGCTCTTCTCAAGGTTCTAATCGTAAACAAGTGATGAAAATTGCCACAAGTTCAAATAATGTTGATGCTCCCTTGAAGTATGACTAAAAATAACTGATCGTCTTTGTTGACAATCTCCATAAAAATTGTAAAGTTTTTTTAGGAAATCTGGGAAGCAGTGTACATACACATACACAGTAATGTAGCTGTATTTTCGTTGAATACAGATCTGTTTTCGCTATTATATATTTACTCCCACACCTACTGGCGAGGCAGTATTGTAATCGCAAAACGTATAAACTGAACGAAGCTATAAGTTCATTCACAGGGAGCGGATCCAGAGCGACATTCTGAGGAGGGGTCTTCTGCGAGCGAATGTTCTTGTGTCAACTAAAAATTGGGGGCTACCGATTTTCTGCCTGTTTGCCTTTTCCTACTGATTTTTTTAGGGTCGCTCTCTAGGTTATCGTAAAAAACCGTAACAATCGTACATCTAGCAACACTCTGTGAATAGTGTTAGGATGGTATGTCGCTGATATGCTCGCAACACAACACCTTATCATGACGTTTGACCATAAACGCCATTGTGCTTGAAGCACAGAATTTCCGATGGTCATCGTTTCATGCTTCATTAATCTATATACAAAGCAGAAATTGATTATAAATTGATTATAAATTAATTCCAATACCAAAGATCCATTTTAGTAGCCATTTGAAGCTGTCAAATCGCAACTGGCAATGGACGGTGCTACGGGTAGGGCAGAGACAGCCAATCATAAACAGCTGTTTCCTACTTTTTGGCAACGAGCGAAACCATAATATCTATCCTCTATCCAGCGCATTTAGCATATGAGCTCTTTGGTGCTGTCTTATTTCGATAAGGTCTAACTTGTACTGAACATAATCCTTTATGAACTTATGGTGGCATTGCGTGGGAAGTTTCAAGTCAACCTACTTGACGCAATTATTTATTTTAAACACCTTCTGTAGGAATCAAGAACTGGGATGTATTTTAACACAATTCAAAACCATATTCAGACTTATTAATGCAATCAATATTTTTTTTTATACATTTATCAACTTTCTAATTATTTATTTTAACCTAAAATTTTGATAATAATTTTATTTTGATTTATATTTATTTCGCGTACAGGTCCTTTGGAGTATTTAAATAGATTTATAGATCCATCCAAAAACTTCTTATTATAGTAGTAGCTATAAAAATCGTGAATGCGCTGCTTAATTGTCTACTTTAATAAATAAAACAAAAATATTAGTGGTAATTCTCTAGCTTAGCTACACCGGCTGCTTTGATCAAAAATTATTTCAGGCCCTAGTTTTTGGGTGTAAGTGGGACTGGAAATGAGCCCAAATATGAAAGTCCTGAAATATTTTACGATATAATAGGTTTTTTGTGAGTTTTGATAGTTGTGCGATGTTGTCAGATTTCATTACTTCCTTTTTTTGTTGATGGAGATTTTTAATAATTAAATTTGTATGTATGACTTCGAAATCAACAGCACTACAAAACGCCAAATGCACTAGCGATGCGCTCATGCGCGCCACGCCTCAATGAGGAATACCTTCTGGAGTAAATGGACAGTGCGTATCTTCTTCAATATGGCAACGTCGCGGAATGTTTGGGATTCATCCTTTAAAACCTAGATAATATCAATAATATTCTGCAACTAACCGACTTACGGGCATTTTGAATCTCATTTCCACCATTTACAACCCAAGATTCGGTCCTTTCGGACAGAGAAACAAAAAAGGCTGATGTAGCTAAACTAGATAATTACCATAGTGAACAAATTAGAACAATTGATATTAATTACATGGGAAGATACAATAAAACTGTGGCTCAGTATAGGCGATGAGACAATTGTATGTAAAACAAAAAATATTTCAAGATCTAAACTGTATGTACGATGCATTATCGGCGAATCGGCGTCCTACTGCCCGCTGGGATCCTCCACCTTGAAAAAGCGTGTGTAGTTGTGTAGTGCGTCTTCAGCTAACCAACCCCCGCGCACCCCTCGCCCTTCTAACCAAACGCATTAAAGCCGGGCACGCCATTGGTCGAAGCGGGCCTATGCGAACTCGCGAAACTTCAGGCACTCGGCCCGCTTGCTCGGACCTTGGAAATTCGACAGGAACCACGGGCGATTCAGTATCGTCCCCAGTTCGGCAGAGACAACATCATTGTGTGCTACGCTACCTCGTCTGTTTCGTGCTCACTCTCAGTGGCCTGCCCTTGAGTTACTCCGTTCGCCGAAATGCTTCCACTTCGGGTCCTGTTTCACCCCGAGCATCGCACGCACCGGTTGTGATGGGATAAACGGACTACTTTCGCTAACTTTTCTTTTGTTTTCGTTTTTTCTTTTTGACTTTTTGCGCGCTCAACATGCCAAGTGAAAAATGTGCCAGTTTCGTATATTTCGATAGCGACGTTGTACCGCCGGAACTGAAACCTACTGCGATGTTATGATAGTAAATTAGTGAAAGTTGTATTTTTTCGTTTTGGAACTGTTTTTATTTTTGACTTTACGTGATGGCGAGCAATAGCGGTGTGCAGCAACAGTTTATGCAGCAGCAGCAGCAACAAGGGAGCGGCAGTACGCCGCATAGGTGCAAGGAGTGTGGACTATGTTTCAACTCGCAGGAATCTTTGGAGGTGCACGTGCAGTACCATAAGGAAAACCTGATGAAGCACTGGGCGCCTACACATGGAGGTGAGGAAACCAATAATAACACCACCTCACCTAGCACCGCCAACAATAATAGCAAACCAACCAATAAACGTGAGTTATTATCAAATAATACCATTGTGCCAGCTGATAGCTCCGAAACTATGCAAAAGAAGAGCCCGGATTATAGCAGAGCTACACCGGATCAGGTATTTGGTCATCCACCTACTCCGCAAAGCTTCCAAAGTGCATCATCCCCATACCAAAGCCAAGAAAACTCTTCGTTCTCCCCAAGCTTTGCAAACTATCAACAGCCGAATAAAGAAAGGAACTCTCCCACTCCTCAGTTCCAACATAACTATCCTGGGTATCCAGAGCAGCAGCAACAACAATATTTTCCAGGCATGGACCAGCAATACAACCAGGAGGCTTTTGTGCAAAAGTCCATGCAGCAGCATAGTTCCTACAGGTATCATCCGTACTCTAGTGGGTATGAAAGGCAGCAAACACCATCCCAGCAGCAGCAGGTGTCCTCGTCGAGCCCTGCGTATCCGCCACAGCCGACCCCTTCGCCAAGCCCTAAACAATGCGACAAGTGCGGGTACGTGTGCGAGTCGGCCTCGCAGTTAATCGAACACCTGAACATTGCTCACCCCCCGACCCCGGCGCCCCATCTGACCTCATACCAGCCAAACCAGCATTTCATGTTTGACCACGCGCCTCAAGTGAAGTCGGAAGACGCCACCGCAACCCCTCAGAGTGAAATTCTTGACCTTGACTCGCATAAAGTCGTGCACAACCAGTATCCCGAAGAAGAGGAAAAGCGGGAAGATGCTAACAACCCACATTCCGTGCCAGGGATGTTAAACTCTTGGACCCAGCAGCAGAAAATGATGTTCCAGGAACAGCAGCAGAGGATGTTCATGAATCCACAGGGGGAGCAAAAATTGTTCCAAGCACATCAAATGCACAGTCAAGATTTCATGAGCAATGGAGTGACCACAACGACTGAACAGGCCCCACAACCGTACAGACCTTTTGAGCACATGCCCAATGCGAATACCGCACCTACGATAGCCAGCAGCCAAGTTGCTAACAATCCAGTAGCCCAGCCGGCTCCGGGTTTGGTGCAAAAGAGCTCCAACTGGAAATCGAATGAAGCACGAAGACCCAAAACATATAACTGTACAGCATGCAATAAATGGTTTACAAGCTCGGGTCACCTGAAGCGACACTACAACACGACGCTTCACAAGAATGCCGTTAAGTCTAGCGGCCAGCCAGATCCAGCAGGCCTTCCGATCAGCGCTCACCACCATCCAGCAAGGGACAAGTCGGACGATCGGCCACAGTCGGGTAGCTCCGGAGACGAGATCAGAGGCGGGGATGAGAGCAACAGCATGTCGCAATTTGACAGATTAAACCCTATGTCAGGTATGTTACAACCGCATCACACTCCGCCACTACATTCGCCAATGCCCCTCTCGCCCATGGCGCATTCGCCCATGTCCAACCCAAACATGTCAGGTGGGAGTCCCCCAAACGGGGATGCAGGCCTCTCAACCAACAACCTAGATTCGAGGGGCCTGCTGTCACTGAATTCACCCCCGATCCCCACACAGCCGGGTCATGGCTACAATATGGCACCCCACCAACATATGATGCCTATGGAGAACAGCCAGTTCCAGATGTACCCAAACGAATTTGCCCCCCACGTTACGCAGGTTATGGCTATCAACAGCCTCAGTACTACTGGTGAACCAGTGTACCAGTTTGTCGATGAGAACAACGAACAACAGCCTTTGCCGAGCTTTGCGCAGATCCAGTCGCACCGCTACGGCTTAGTGGGCTATGAAATTGCGAACGTGGGGGGCGGGGGTATGGCGACAACCCCTATCACCTTCTACCAAGAACAGCCAGATCACAATGAACGAGCAGAGATAGGAGGAGATGAGTACAAACTCACTGTGTTGACCAACTCCGAACCTATCGGGCAAAATGATGAGTACATTTTGGGATATTCGCCATCAGATGGTAAAGATAATGTCAGTATGATGTCTCTCAGCTCAGAGAATGACTCCAAAAATATGGAGGAGAGTAAAATGCAAATCATGGACGATATAAAATTACGGCTTGAAGCCCAACCTAAGTCCCCAGAAAAAGCCCATATTAAGAGGGACTATGAGGACACCACTAGCAGTCCCCTGATTACTTCAACTGTACTCAATAAACCAGATTTGCACAAATGCTATGATTGCGATAAAGTGTTCAACAAAGCTTGCTATCTAACGCAGCATAATAAAACCTTCCACAGTGGGGACAAGCCTTTCAAATGCTGCAGGTGCGGTAAGAGGTTCTCTTGTGACAACACTTACCAAGAGCATCTATCCAAGCACGCTGGCGAAAAGCCACACAAATGCGATCTCTGTCCTAAACAGTTCAATCACAAGACCGATCTCAGAAGGCACATGTGCCTTCACACAGGTCAAAAACCATACGCTTGTGATACTTGTGGCAAAGGCTTTATCAGGAAAGATCATATGATGAAGCACTGTGAAACTCATTTAAGGAAAACGCAGTCTAAAATTGCGGCAATCCGTTGAGTCAACAGGAACTTATAAAATTACAGTACTGACAATAAGTCATGAATCATTTGAAAGTTTAGCAGCTGGTTTATTTTTCAGTTTCTATGGTTTGCAGAAAGAACTACCAATATGATTTGCTTTTATGATTTATTCTCAAAACCACTTGCTGCGATATACTTACTCATCGGTAAAAGTTATACGCCAGTAAGTAAAAATTCTTCAGTCTGCTAACACTACAAAAAGACTATTTTATTGCAAAACAAGTTAAAGGATTTCAAAAAACAATCATATCAATAACTTTTTGTTGTAAATATGGTACGTATTATTTGTAAATATTGTTTGTATATGTCTTAAATATTTTTCTCCTGTACAGTTTAATACATATCATTCCAGAAAATTAGAAAAACCTCAAAAAATACACAATGAAAACTTCGAGAAACTACCTGTTTTGAATTGTGTGTCCACTGATTATAACTCAAGCAGGTAAATGGGAAATACAAAAAAGTTTTATGTCATTTGAAATTTTCAGCTAAAGTCATTTTTTCAAACTATTTGACCCACTTATTGTCGGTGCTGTGATAATATGTAGATTATACATCGTTTCACTTGGTACTTTTCTACTTAAACGTGTAAAGTATTTTATTACACTGTACATATTGTTTTTTATATTAATTTATAATTTCTTAAAACAAACTTAAGACGAACAAAGCGAGAAATGCCATTACAAATCCATACATATATAGGGTATTACAAAATTCTACTAGTACTTTACAAAACAAATTGAAATCACCAACTTAACACTCTGATTGATAAACCATTGAAATGAAAAATCTACTAGAACCTTTCTATAGTAAAACTACGTATATTCATACCGTTACATATAGAAGTTTGTCTCATATAATGATTCGTAATATTATTTGGATGCTCAAGTCCTCGTAGTAATGACATTATACATGTACATTATTTGAAAACCGTCACTGAGTAGTGTACAGACTAGTAAAATTGAGAAATAACCTGTATACCAAGAAAATTTGCTCAAGTTTTTTCTTAGTGTCCGATAATAATCAATACTCAAACAGCAATACCTCAGAATCTCAGTTAAAAAATAAGATAGGTATAAATATTTATATCAGATTTTATTATATCATGTGGATGTACAAACTTTAGAATCAGGTTATCTATTATGTATAAAAATGCAAAAAATCAGATAAAAATAAAGAAATACCATACAGGCGAACTTTATTGTTTTTTCAGTGACTCTTAAAAGAAATGTCAATGTAAAAATCATAAAGTTCTGATACAGGGTGGTAAGAAATTGCGTCTGGCAGGGTAACTAACCGTTCTTGTTTTCTATTGGATATTGTTTGGGACTACTTTTATATACGATATCGTTGGCTCGTGCTATGTGTCTAAATTTTAATTAGTATCGCATAAAAATGCTAGTCAGAGGTAAACAGATTTTAGTTCTCCAGTAAACGTCTCTTAGTAGAGTATAAAAATATTACTATCATCTATTTAACTAGCTTTTTATCCCATAGATAGATATAAGGTTATTCCAAAAAATATTTTCGGAAAAGGAAAACGGTGTTACTTGTACTGAAACATAAATCACTTGCATCATGTTGGAATCAATCTAAACTCTGCACACCATGGATGCAAGTGATTTCCATTGTTAATAAAAACGAATCATAGATTTTAACTGTTGAACTGCACCCTGTATAGAAATTTAAAGTAATAAAATTTGCAATAACATTACAACACAAACGTTTTTGATATTTATTTCTTAAAATGTAATGATGATATTTGTGAGTCTCTGTTAGTTAAGATCCCACTCAAAAATCATGCATCTACCTATTTTTTATCGAAAGCATATAATTCATTATTTTTATCCAAATTCCCAAATAATACCACCTGACCTGCAACAATATTACATCGAATATCCTGGATATTTAACAAAACTGCAGATATACGTTACATGGCTGAACTAAAATCAGCTGTATTAAGATTTGCACTATTTTAAATTTTCGTTTTAAAAATCAAGTATATGTATGATTTTTTTAGTCAGATCTTGTACTAAATGTACATAAAAATTGATAGGTATCTACATACTATTATTTTTCTCCATATAACAGATCTACCTCAGTTATATATGATGAATTTATGTGCCAATTTTTATTGATAGATTTTTTGCCCGATCCATAGTCGGGTAAGTGTTAGGTAATACACGTGCCAAATTTCTTAAAGGGGGACATATTTTGCCGTTCATCATTTTATATAACAGGATATCATATATTTTTCTCATGGACGATCATTGATAAAAATAAACGGTGAAGTATGGTCACCTTTAGGCAAAATATTGCTGTATTTTTTATAAAAATATGACAATTTTTTGCGGACGTCGTGCATATCGTTACTATGATTAGTGCAATTTAAAAACACAAATTTGTTTTATGTTACGCGATACAAGTTACCAGATGTTTGTCATTTACAAAGGTGCATCGATAAGTGTGTTACATATTGGTAGGTCGTTTTCGAAAAGTTGCACCGTAGAGAAACATATTTTTTGTTTTGCTGTTATACTTTTAGTTTACGATTAGGTTTTTATACCTTGTTTTTCCACATTTTATTCTAAAAAGTATTAATTTTAACTGGTTCACTAAATGTTGCACATAAAAGTCGGAGTATTCTGGAGGTTATAATATGAATAATGAATATATGAAAATCGGAGTTCCCAATACCAGTGAGTCATAAAGGAGTATAAGTATGTCAATTTGCAGAATGAGATTGACTCCAATTCGCAAAAGGGTCTGATTACTTGTGGGAAACCACTGTGTACGGTTTTTTTTAAACAATTTTATCTCTTACTAATTTATACAGAGCTTTTTAAAAAGCCCAACCCCAAAATAGTTTTTTGCAGGTTCAAGATGACAAAGTAAAATTCTGGACTATGAAAGTGATTCATGAAAACTACATTTGAAAATGTCAATGTGACGGCTAGAAACCATCTTGGGACTTGTTTGTAAATGGAATAGGGTCCCTATGATACTCCATTTTGAAGCTCCTTACTTTGTAACATTGGAATATGAAATCAATATCTTTCAAAATGGCGGACTAGCAGGTTGTCAAAAAACTGTGTGTGTTTTTATACACTGAATCGCTTAAAACTCAACAACAACCAATGATTGAAAAGTATGTTGTAACAGTTTTCTCTTTTTATTTATCCGAATAGGTGAACAATAAAACTGTTTAATAAAAACGTCAAAATCTGCTAACGAATTTTATCGCATATTGAGATAAACGCTTTCCAAAAAAGAATAATGATCTATCATATTTAGCATCTTGATAATTTGTTGAGTCAACGCTTAACTTTGACAGCCTGTAGGTCCGCCGTTTTAAAGGATATTAAATTTATACTCTAGTGCTATAAAGTACCAATAAGGATATAAAATCAGTTGTTACATGACCCTTCGTTCTTTCAAAAAATGTTGCATGATTGCGCCCAGCCGCCATCTTGATACTTTAAACTATCACTTTGACGCTACATGCATCAATTTCATAATCCCAAATTCCAGCTTGCTATTTTAGGCCGTTCAAAAAATGAAGTGGGAGAGGGGATTTTTGATAAGCACTGTATGTCGCTGTACATTTTATTTTATTTTTAAGGTGTAGTATACATCACAAAATCAGTATTATAACCTATGGATTGTAAGAACATTTTATCGAACCGCCCTTGTAACTCAGGTTGTTTTGTTATGTTAGATGTTTTAAAAATTGTGTGTGATCCGTTATGTTCAGATGTATGGACACTTTATAGCTGTGTTTTCTTTTTTGATCGAATATTCTCATTCCACGTTTATTGTGTATTTGTTTTAAGACTGATCGTATATGTAGTATTTTGTTTATATCTTTTTTGCGACCTGTAAATTTTCCTATATGTTTATGGGCTGTTTAGAAGTTAAGTTTTACGTTATGTTACTTTTACCAATGATGCAAATAAATATGGTAATTGAAACTGCATTTTTGTCTTATTGTCTTGATACCTTTTGAGCCTACTGCAATAGAGGAATATATGTATAGATGGAAAGATACTGGGTAGATCAGCGATACAGGACGCCAATCAATATATTTTCAACATACTAGGATTCTAACGTTAGTCTAACAGGAACAATAAAAATGTCCCTTTTTGTTAAATTATTTAATTGGCATATCTGGGATAATTCGTTTAGTCGTATATGAATGCTTTAATGCTTTCTGACAAAATTATTTTTTGGTAAATATTACCCTTTTATTGATCCACCCGGTACGAAAAAGGAAAACTAAAAATGTATTCTTTGTGTTATGTGAACAATGGGACATTGAAGCAATCACAAAAAAGTTAGTAATTACATTTCTCTATAATGGAATGTGTTGGTAAACATAGATCACTGGAGAGCATAGATAGTGAATAAATAGCACTACCAAGCTGGTATTTTTTAACGTCAGTCTACTTCATATATCCTAACAAAAACAGTAACAGACAAAACATACAAGGTAAGAATAAACAATTCTTTTTGCTTGCTTCTCGGGCATTTGGATGCTAAAAATACTTATTTCGCAGTGTGAAAGGAATGCTATAAACTTATAAGGATCATTGTTCAAAAATCCAGAATCAGGATGTTTTTTCGAAACTACATCCTGTTACATTTTTCTCTCATTCTCTTAACTCCAAAAAACAATCATTGGTGAAACTCATTTCTATCTATTATCAATGTCTTTCAATTACTGCGATGGTTTTTCAACATTTTTCTTGAAAAGAGCGCGAAAAATACAAAATAAATGACAGAAATCCCAAGCGCGTATTGATGAAACCTAAAAAAAATCAATGGTTTTCAGGAGGAAAATTGGAATACCTGTAGGTATTTCGGGAAGGAATAGTAGTAACAAGTAGATTGAGCATCTGTTTTATATGTTCAAATTATGATTTGCATAAATTCGTCATCTGAATCTACACCAAAATAAAAACAAGTATAACAATTTCAAAAATGCTTATGCATCCAAAAAAATGCCTTCTGGGGTAATCAAAAACTTGGAAAATGGTGTAAAACAAAGTTAGTGAATTTTTCACGATTTAGATAAATAACGCAATCAAAAAATTTCGAAAATGACGTCAACAAAGTTTTGTAATTTATGAAAAATTTGATCAAGTTACTGCTAAATTAGCACATTAATGTTATACATACCACCGCCAAATTACAACAAAATTAAGTGAATGATATTTAAGATACTTACGAAATAATATTTTATTTTAATTTTAATCCACCTTGAGAACGAAGAATAACGCACCATGTTTATATAACCTTTTTGCCTTAAAATTTCTCAAATAATCGTCTGTTAAGTGTAAGGTTTATACTTAATTAACATCCTGTATATCGGAGAATTGACCATTTCATAAAATGGTCAACTGAATTTGACTATGTCGTTAAATCGTATGCGTTCAACAATTTGGACATCCACGATTGATCACAACACCTAATAAAGAAATAGTAACTTTAGGAAATTAAAATAAAATAATTATATTAAAACGACACAAATAAAATTATTAAATATATCAGATATCACAAATTAGGTTATTACCTCGCTTGGTTACTAAGGTGTCCCAAAAAATGGTTCTTTTTTTCGAACGCATATAAGTTGGTATGGAAACTATGTATGGATTTCAGAACCTGATTCTTATTCGACAAATAAAATATTGCTTTTTTGTATCTTATATTTCTTAGATATTTATTATTCAAAAAATATTTACAAAATTTTCTTTTCAATGTTTTTTTTAGAGTCAGGATATATACATATATGTATATACAGTGTGTAAAGTTAGTAGTGGATCAACGGAAGTCAGGTGATAGAGGGCCTCAACACATATCGAATGAACCCCTATATGTGTGGCCCGAAATTTTATATTTTAGGAGATATTTGCAATTTTTTGAAACTTCGAAAAAAAACGGGATAGTGAACTTTCAATCGCAATTACAACCAAACCATTAGATTTAGGGCTGTGACTTTTTTCTGTGATGAGTTAAATGGTTAGTTTTAGCAATTCTTACGTCACTTTTTAACAGAGCTTATTAGAAATTAACGCAAAAAATCATAAATTCATTTTTTTGTGAAAAATCTCTTCTATCCCTCAACTTTGAAGGGCGGTAAAAAAATTGAGGTTGTATTTCATTATTCATTTTATTGTAAAAACTATTTCAACCTATGTAGAATAAACCCTGAAAATTCCAGCTTGCTGCGATGAGTGTATCATGTCATATTCGTTGTAGTGATGCCATAAACGTAAGAAATGCAATAGAATCCTTACCACATACAAGTTCAGAACCTATTGTGTTTAGCCGCACTTTATGGCGATTTACCAACAAATGTGGAAGATAATTTAATTTAACTAACTTTTAAAGAACATGTTTGAAATGGCCTCACGCGACACCTTCTAATAAAATTGTCCTTTAGTCTTTGAAATGAATTTCCGGTTTTCCATAATTTTTATTTTTGCTTCATCAATTTTCTAGCGCAGTTGGTTGACATTTGTATATTCAGATGTAAAAAAACTCATTTTCTTTTTGTAGATCCTTTGGGCTTGAAGTACTACAGCAAGTGGCTATAACCGGCCGCGTGGTTGTGGTTAGATGTCTCCTTGAAAATTCGAGATCATCTAGCCATTTTATACTACAATGTGTAGGTTGGCTTTTGTTGTTTACGTCGTGTGTTGTTTTTTCCTCCCCCATCTTCGTCTCTTCAGGTTACACCAGTAACCGGATGTGTGGGCATGTGTATCTACTTTTGTAGTTGCATATGTGCATTCATTTCGGGCCTGATGAAGCCAACCAGCAGAAATACGTATCGCTCGGGTTACCTATCCTATTATCTGCTCGAATCCACTGTCCTCCTTTTTGCGGATTTCGCCCGCACCTTTATCAGATCAATATCCTGAAATCATTGTCACAAGATCTGACAAAGGTAATGTTACAGTGATAATGTTAAGACAACACTATTTGAATCTTTGTAACAATCTTATCAATGATGATCCATCATACCACGAAATTAATAGAGATCCTACATCAAAGGTTCAAAAGAAAAGTAATGACATTGTTAAGGAACTCCTCAACACTGGACAAATAACCCAAGAACAAAAAAGAACGTTGACTACTTATAACTCAGACCCTCCTAAATTCTATGCACTTCCTAAAATACATAAGCCTGTACTCTCAGTAAGACCTAGTTGCATCAGTTGGTTCAGGCACCCAGGCTTTGTCTTCACTAATATCGGAAATACTAAAATCGACACACAGTGAGAATGATTACTACATCAAAGACTCGTTTGATGTCTCTCGCCAGTTCAACAGGTTACCAATACCATCTGATCACATTATCGCCTTGATGTGGTGTCGCTATTCAGTAATATCTATCTGGATGTATCTACTAGAACTATAAATAGACATTAGGATGAGATAAGTCAACACTGTAACATAACTCTAGAATCTTCCACCAACATTATAACATTTCTCTTTCATAACAACTACTTCTCTTTTAACAACAAAATATATTCTCAGACACATGGTTGCACTATGGGTTCTGTTCTATCACCAATTTTGGCAAATATTATATGAATGATCTGCAAGATAGTATTATTCCGTCACTACCCTATAACCTCCTCTACATAAAAAAATACGTAGATGACATCATTTATGTGCTTTCGCTCCAGAGGTTTAGATAGTATTGTCGAAGATTTCAACAGCTATGACCCCTACATCCAATTTACCATTGAAAAAGAGGATGAGAACCTGTCTGTCCCTTTTCTAGACACAAGACATCCGCACCAACAATAATAGTTTATTGGTAGACTGGTACCAGAAACCTATGTCTTCAGGCCGTTTCCTCAATTTCAGGTCATACCATAAACTAAGGATTAAAATCAACTTGGTGAAGCAGATGAAAACAAGGGTAATTAGCATCTCTGACAATACTTTCCATACATATAATCGCCATCCCAAATTCCAGACCTGGTTTTGCTGTTCTACCCTACATCAAAAAACTGACCCCTAAGCTAATCAGACTATGTAGCTCGTTGAACTACCGAATTGCTTGCAAATCTGTCCTCACTATAAACTGTATTTTTTCAAAGATGAAAGACAGAGTCCCGTTGCTTGGTTAGTAAACCAGGTACAGTCAATATTTTTTATCTCTTGAATATGTCTTTGTAACTATAGGTATACGCAACCTGCGCCATTGAACGAACAATCCTCTTTTAAAAAGAGAGGCTGGTCCTAAGGTTTCTAAATAAGTAATAGAGGATATTTAACTGTGATACTAAATATTCACAGTGCACCCTAATAAAGTACCGCTTATTGTGAATGTGTAGGCCTAAAAATTCTCGTAGCTTAACGAAACACCATAGTGTTCCGGCTTTTCTATATTCAGCTGCCGGTTATGAGTCCTGACTAGACGTGTTTTGTCCAGATAGTACGAGCCCCTTCTTACTTCAGTTCGCTCACTTCAAGATTTGTACCAAAATATGCCTTTATAAACTAAACATGGCGGAACTATTTACTTCTAAAACAATTTATTTTCTCAAAAACATTTCAGATACACTCTAGTCGTAAAAAATACATATTTGAAATCACTTAGACCTATAACTAAAAGAACATCTGAACAAATAAACAATGTGCGAATAAATGCTCGAAGTTAACAAAGCAACAATTGAAAGATTACCATCGGGTAACATCACCTTTATTTCTTATTACCCCTTAAATGCTTTGGGGCATAGTGTTAACCAAGTTTTGGCAAAAATTTGGTGTAAAACAATCCCATATTTCTTGAAGCTTTTGTATCAGTTCGGTGATTGTACGAGCAGGATGTTGTCGTAGAACCTTTTTCATCTCGTGCCACAAAGTTTGAATAGGTGACAGATCTGGACTGCTAGAAACCAACTTCAAAAGTGGTACATTATTTTCCTCCATACATTTTATAGCCTTTTTTGAGGTATGGCACGCTGCACCATCTTGCTAAAACACAAAATCTTGGCCGTATGTCAAACATTCTTCCATCACCGGTAAAAGCGATTCTTCTAAAATTGCCAAATATTTGTTTGTATCCACATTTCCATCAATAAAATGAAGTTTTCCTACTCCTTTTGATGACATACTGCCCCAGATCATAATGGATGCTGGAAATTTCACTTTTCTCTTCAGACAGTCAACATGGAATGCTTCATTTTTTAGCGAATAACTCTCTCACCAACAGAAACTTCGATTCGGGCCTCATCACTCCATTGTATTGCACACCATTGTTGAGGTGTTCATTGTCTATGTTCTTTAGCCCATCTAAGCCGATTTTTCTTTTGCAGTGGAGTTAATGGTGGCTTTTCTTTGGCCTATAAACAAGTTGTGCAACTTTAGGGTTTTTACTTCACTTTTTTTTATAAGAAAACTTACCTTGCAAGTGCTAAATCCCAGTTTGTGGGCCTCTCTATGAGTTGTGGACCTCGCAATTCTGCTTCCAACAGCGTCACTCCACAGAGCACTTAATTGTAAATAATTGGCACGCCTGTATTTCACGATTATTCTTCTTAATGCTCTTCGGTCGGCGTTTGTGATATTACTTTTTTTCACATATCGTGGCTTAATATTAGCTAAACCAGTTACGTGTTATATCTTCTAACAATATTTCTCACACTGTACCGTGATACGTCTAACAAAGTTGAAATTTCTGAGTTTGATTTTCCAGAATTAAGAAATTTAATTATCAGTAACCGAATTTTCTCACTAATAACCTTTCCTCTACCCATTTTGAAAACCTTAACTACCCCAAAAGTAGTATTGGGAAATTTTTGAAAACCCAAACGAGACTTGTTACAGGCCTATAGTTCTTCTCACATCCTTCTTATGTATCGGTAAGACTTTAATTTTAGAACTTCGGGAAACAGAAAGATAGACAGAAATATACAAATCCATGTAGATATTAAAAGTTATAATGCAAATCGGTAAAACGTGATCAGCTAGCCCCTTTCAGCAATGTACCTTTTATTACACCAAGTGTTTGGTCATAAAATAAATTCTATAATCCCGAAAATTCCAGGTAACGCTTCATTTCAGACATTATTATTCAGTATAAGCCGATTAAAGTTTCAGACAAACTCTTTTTTGCTGTATTCTGTATAATGGATAAATAATTATTCTTGTTTTCCTTCAAGCAGTTAATGTCTTTTTATTTTCTAAGAAGCTTTCGCGACATCAAAAAATTGTGAAGAACACATATTGCCAACACAATCTTGTAACTTTTCTGGGTATAAGCTGTATAGGTTTTCTTAATACACGAAAACCAGTTGCCATAACACCAACAACATTTTCAATGATCCTTCTTGCACGGGACAGTCTGTAGTTAAATACGCGATTTGGTCCTGGTTGATTTCTAAATGGATATGGCTTAAGCAAATATAGTTTAATTGCAAATGCGTCGTCAGCTACAACAACAAACGGCGACATATTTTCTCTTCCTGGAAGCTGCCTTGGAGGGGGCAAATTTTTGGTATTATTTTCCAAAGATGTGGACAGAGAACAATTGTTGTAAACGCCACCGTCTCATATTCTGCCATTGCAACCAATATTTACATAAGTTAATTTGTACGTTGCATCAGCCAACGCCATTAAACCTATACTATGTGTGCCTTTATAATTAAAATAATAGCTTCCACTACAAGCTGGAGCTTGCATAACAATATGCTTGCCATCTAAGGCGCCCACACAGTTCGGGAAATTCCACATATTTTCAAAATCATTGGTAATGTTAATCCATTCTGCTCGAGTATTTGGTACCTAAAAAAGTAAGTAAGGTAAATAATTTTTTTCAGGTTCCAATAGCAAACAGAAACGCAACATTCATCAATAGATAGAGAAAACGTTCAAGAATCGATAAAGATAGAACAAAATGGCTCTAGAAAGGCTGTACAAAGAAAGAATAAGGAAACTGAGGATGACGCTACTTTAGCTAAAGCTATTAAAGTTATGGAACGGCCTGTCGATTACTTTCAAATATTTGGAGATTATGTGTAGCATAAGAGCTCCGTTCCCTACACTCCGATCACCTACAAACAAAACTGAAACGAATGATACAAAGAGATATTTTGCAAGTTTTAGAGTTATCTGATCAGGAAGAAAGACGTTCCTTATCAACAACACCGGTTTCGATCCCGCTTGTATCTCCAGTATATGACACAAGTAGCTCAAATTCACAGTCTTTTCATACATTGCAGTCATACAATAATACCTATTCTGATCAACTTCACCCAGGTAAAATAATAAAAAAAAGCAAAATACTTTGCATACTTTTAAATATTCCTTTTGTAGCACCTCGTGAATTGCGGCACAACACTGGGGAACAATCCTTGCGATTGTACTTACAGGAATTCGATACAACTACATAAGAGAATGATAGATGTCACCTAAAAAGAAACAAATACTTGAAGGTGATTCTATCTTGTTTATGTTAATATGAAAATAAATATATTTGAGCTTTGAACAAGTATTACCTGTTGCCAAAAAACGAAGTATTAAGGACAAACGTTCCTTCGGACTGATCGCCTGTCACATTTTTGTATTCTTCCTGCTTATTTTGTTTCACACTAAATTAAGCAAAAAATCAAAATCATCATTAAAAATAGTATAGACCAACAAGCAAGTACTTACAGCAAAAACTATCACAAGTTACTTGCAAGTGGACACGAGGCTTTACACTAGTAAGTGAGAATGTCGCTAAATGTTATTAAAGGTTAAGTTAAGGGAAACATTTAGTAACCTGGTGAAAGCTGGATACATGGTACAATCGTTAAAATTAGTATAAAATACACACAGCTGTATGTCAGGAACACATCAAGACGGATTAAAATTTATTTGGAACGAAAGTTAAAATTATTACATCTTAAGCCGATGCCAAACGGGAAAAGGCCATTTACTTAAATTAAAAACAAATATGGATTATAGAGTTAACGTAACTTTTATTTTATTATTTATTGAGAGAAGAAGTACTTGAATGATATTTACTATTACATTTTATCTCATTTATTACACATTTGTCACCACATTGTTTTCGACAGTTGCACCGTACCCTGTGAAGAATTTGGTATCCCCATTACTCCAAACATTAAGTGCCATTTGAGAAAGTTCAACTACGCTTTTGGAAACTCCTCATTTACAAGGCCGACGGTACTTATCCTCATAGAAATATGCTTTATGAGCATCATACTTGTAGATTTGAGATAGAAAGTCCGGACCCAAGACAAAAATGTAATTTTTTAGCAATTTTGTACAAACTCTCACATGATAACTTAGACGTCAACGTAATTTTATCTACTGGTTTCTTTATGCCTTGCTTGAGAACTAGAAATACCAAAGCCTTCAATTGTGAGAGAGCTAGAACTAATTTGCGTCGCCAGTACTAACTTTGTGTGAAAATTTTGATTCAATTTCGGCTGTTTGTAATATAAATTTTGACAGTATCTCAACAATACTGAATTGTGGATATTTGTACTTGGTCCTTAATATGTCTAGCATCTAACTTTCATTATATGTTTATTGTGAATTTCTGCTTTATATTTTTTCTGCATCATTTTGTAAATATTCTCATTTAGTTCAACCCACTGACAAACAAACTGCACGTGTGCGCTTTACTACAATAATTTGAGGTTAGGTTGTTTATTTGTGATGTAATCGGCAACGGCGTTTTAAAGCAATGCACACTTCGCGACGTGGCTAGATTAACTTATGACGAATTTCGGCTTCTGGCATGCGTGGTATGGACATATGGCGATATGTCCAATTTTATCGGCCGTCTGTCTCCAAAATATATTTATATATATATATTATATATATATATATATATATATATATATATATATATATATATTACTATGTGACGATTTCAGGGTTCGGAATTGTTTGACGTAGTCGTAGTTGTACCATGCTTTTAGAAATAGAAAAAAGCAATCCTGGGACGTAAAAAGTGCACTTTTCTTCTCGAGTTCAAAACCTTGGAAACAAGAGTATTCTCACTTGCCATTCCCAAGGCTCATTATCAAAAAGTGCTCAAAATTGGCAGAATATATACATATTTTTCACGATAAATCAGCTACCTCGTATCCTTGTCAATGGTCGCAGGACACGTGCTTAGAAATTAGTCGGCTATCAGCATGAGTCATTAGATGAATGATTTAGGCGTTCTGAAAATAAAGTTTTACAGTATTCCAGAGTCCAATTCCATTCCATTACTATGTATGGTATTACCAAATGACTTACAAACGTACCCCTGTTTTTACATAGCTGCATACATATTATAGAAGTAGGAGCATTTTAAAACTGAACAGTTGTTGGTAAGTAATGCAAAAAGAGAACTTTTTTCTAGATAGCAATTGCAAAAGATGGCTGACAATGGAGAACTTATCTTAGCTATATCCATAATTATATTAAATATCCATCCTATTAGCACATTTATCTCATTTTGTTTTGTTTATCAAGGCAAGGATGTGGCATGTATTGAAATTACATAACTTATATGTGATTTACTTAGAACATTTCAAGATAAACCGTTCCAAGTTGAACGTGTGGAAGCGGACCGTTAATAATATCTTTTGTGTTCCTGTTGATAAGTGAAGACACCGATATGTTCTCACCCTTGTGTTTTGACTAGCGTTGTTCATGTATCCGCATTCTTTAATAAAAACCACCCACCGGATGTGTGATGTTAGAAAAGGGGGATGCAAGTTTGTTCACACAAGTGGTAAAGCCTTATAAACTGGGCTGTTTTGATATATCTGAAGCATTGTACTTCTCTATTACTTCATACACCTACTAAATTTTCGAAAATGATATTCCATGTTTTTTGGATGCTATATGGCATGTAGATTACGAAAAACCATGTCACTCATACCCGTCCGTCGGTCTGTCTGTCGATCAGTCATTCCTTGGCCCGTCTATAACTACAAAGCTTCGTTTTTTGACAGTTAGGATGGTCCTGATCACTTTAAAAAAATGTTTTGACTCAATAAGAACAAAACATGGATGCTGTTCAAATAATGCAATGTTAACGCTTCACCAGCTTCATTGTATTATCAACGTAGAAAGAACTGAAGTGAAATACGTATTTCAACTCAAATATTTAAACTAATTTTTCTCCAAAATAAATAAAAATAATAGTCGTCCTTATTTAGAAACTAATTCATTGGCGAAGTAGCATTTGCTACTCTTACACTTAACAAATCAGTTAGCTTATACACAATACAGAAATGACTGCTTTATCTTAAAAAAACAGACAAGAACAAGATCAGAAAATAACTAAATCAGGAACTACAATACACCATATACATAAGATAGAAATGGTAAAAATAAGTGGACAGTGAATATAAAAACAGTTTAATTTTTTTGCGGAATGTACAAAGAATATTATACACTTCAGGTATTGAATTATACCTGGTAGCTAGGTTATACGAGAAACTTCCTTTAAATAATATGGAGCTGTGCGGTAGAACTCTTATAATTTTGAGTCTCATCGGACAACTAAAACATTTTTCTCTGAGATATAAGGACTTTGACGTGTGTAACAATTTATGTATGAAAATTAAATAGTAGTAGCCTACAAATTCTCAAATTTCATCCACTTAAATATTTGGTAATTGGCTGAAACATATTTTCGTAATCCAAAAATGAACCGTACACAATTATTTTTAATTATTTGGATAATGTTTTTGGTAAAGCAATCTAATGACGAAAAATAGCTGATTTAACAGTAATTTAGTTCAGATTCAACTAAACTCTCGCATAATTTCTTACGAAGTGTAAAATTTAGTAAATATCGATTTGCTATAAGAATCGTAATATGAGATACGTTTTTTGAGACAGACTCTTTACATGTTCAACAAACCTCATTCAAAAACTACTCCAAATATAAGATTTTTGCAGACTCAGCAAACTTTAAAACTTGATTATGTAGTGAAATCTTTAAGTGAGATGAAGCAGCATTTTTTTAATTAGAAAACAACAAAATTTTGTTTTTTTCTGGATTTGTTTTCAGATTGTAATTAGAAGAATATGTATTAAATTATTAACATCGCTTTGTAAAATTTTTGTTGTACTTGTTACTTCATTTGGAGTAAAGTTATGCATTAAGCGAGTAACATCAAATGATTGAATAAAGGAATTATTAACGGTTTTGCTTAAATCAAAAACATACATTAAAAATAGTATACTAGGCACACGAGAAGGTATCAACGATGTGGAGGAGAATCTTTGGTTTAATAAGACACACTGAGCTCGGCCGTGAAGAACTTTTAAAAAAAGATGATTCTAATTTATCAAAACCAAGATTCGTCAGTAAATGCTCATGGTTGATATTATCAAAAGCCTTATAGTATTCAATACATACAATAGTCAGAGTCATTTTTGAATCTAAGGCCCTTAAACTACTATCCTGCAGATTGAGGAGAGCGGAGGTTGTTCCATAATTCTTTCTAAAGCCAGACTGGGTGTCGGGTATTATATTGTATTTTTCAAGATGTGTGGAAATTTATAAATTAACTAATTTCTCCAACACTTTTGATAAAACGGGTGATAGGCTTATAGGTCTGAGATCACCTAGGTCCAATGGACTGGCTTTTTTAGGAACTGGTACACCCACCGCTGCCCTCCACCATGTAGGAAAGTACCCCGTTTTCAACGACTTATTCACAATATGTACGAGGTGATAGCGAATAACGGGTAAGCATAGTTTTCACATTGTTAGGGATATGCGGTCAACAGCCTGACAAAAATTTCTCAAGCGAGGAGTTTTAAGTAAAATCGAATAACTCATTCAAATGTGCAACAGATGTTTCCAAAACGTCAGTGGTGTAGAAAATAACTTACTTTTACTTTACAGACATACTGGCGGGGGAGTATTGTAATCGCAAAATTTTTCGAAAATGAAATTATTATTATGTTTTTTGGTTGATATATGACATATACATCACGAAAAACATGCATGTCTGTCTGTCTGTCTGTCGGTCTGTCCGTTAATCTTATAACCGCCTTGAAAAGTACTGCTCGGATTTCGGTAAAAGCTTTACACAAAGTTACTACTATGCCATGGACGCAAAAGCTTTTGGCAATCGGTCCAGTGGCGGTTGAGAAAAAGGTCAAAAACGAAAAAGAAAAAGAATGAAAACCGCCCAAATTAATTTTTTTGACGACTCAGAGGATCCCGATCATTTTTGAAAAAAATTTTACAGTTAAAAAAACTTTGTGGTGGGTGTTACTGTGGTGGGGAGGGCTTATATGAGTTTTTTGATCTAAGTACATTTATGCGCTCCCAACCTCGGTAACTCTATCCACCTATTAGACATATTTCACACATCATAGATTTCCCTGTACATTAGCAATTAAAATATTCTCAGCAAACGGATCGCGTAACTACCGGTCGTGGCTGCTACTACCGCTGCTATTTCTCAGAAAGTTTAGCTTGTGCT